GTTACTGTCTTCAGGTATGCACATTTTCTGTGTGGCTATTACAGAGCTTTACTCATATCAGGGTCAGGCCAAACATAGCATACTCTTGAAACAAGCCTACCTTTATCTTCCACTGTGATCAGCACTCCTGACGTTGTGTTCCCAACTTTTGAGATGAATGAACATCTGTATTCTGTGTTTTCTGATACTGAATCTTTCACCCAGCTGAGAACATGCACTCTGCCATCAAGCAGCATGTGGGACTGCTCCGTGATGCATGCCTTCATCTTTTGTCCATTCTTCCTCCAGACAAAGTAGGAGCTGTCCGGACCTGTAAAAATGTCAGGTTATTCTGTAAGTAAACAGAAGATGAGTCTTTGAAAAGAAAACAAATCCCATCACATCAAGATGAGGCTTAAAAACATAAATAGTTGATCAAAATGTTTCTTAGGTTTCTTCAGCTGAAATTGTGGGTACCAAAAACCTGGGATTAAGAGGAGCTAGCACGGGAAATTTAGGTTGAAGCCACAGTTGTGGGTTTGTATTGAGGAATTCTGTGTGGATTCTCACAAGGGGGAACTTGGCACACGCGGCAAGAGTCAATGATGAACACCAGCACCATCTGCCTGTGCAAATCCCTGTAGCAGCAGGACGCACTGCCTACTGCTGCCCAGCCTAGCTCCTGGTACAAAGCTGAAACCACCAGAGACATGCCTCACAGGATCTGAAAAAAAGGCCAGGAGGGGAAAAGTTCAAGAACTCAGTGCATCAAAGATACTGGAACTAGTAGTGAAAGAGGAAGAATTGGAAAAAGCACAGAACCAGTAGTCACACCAGGCACTTAAGCAAGACAGAACTTGAAAGAACCTTGGATCAACAACAAAGAGCAAGCTAATTTTTTAGCTTTGTTACTATTATTTGTCTTAACCTGCAAGGGCAACATTTGAATAAATCAGAGATTGACAGTAGCCTGGAGGGTAGAACAGCTGTTCCCAGAAAACTAGCTAGCAAGGTTGGCTGAAGTGCACTTGGCAGCATCAGAACCTTCCCATTTAAAATACAGACATCTGGGCCAAGCTAAGAACTTGGTAATTCTGATGTTTAAAACATGATTATTTCTCCCTCTGGGCCTAGGATCCAGACTAGCCTTAGCAAGAGATGTGAAGAGAAATTTGGGGTAAAAAGAAAATTAACTATGGCTGCAAATATGTCTTGACAGAGCCTACTATGGCTTTTATTGTGAGCACTTCGTATTGCAAGTTGATGTGGCATTTTTTCCCTAGAAAAATACAATTCTGTCATTAAGTTTTAGATAATCATGCAGAAAAAATAACCACCCAGTTTTTACATTTGTGTACATACTACATATTTGTACATAGTAGACATTTTTACATTGTGTAAAAAGGAGATCATGGCAAATTCTTAACTCCTAAGTTTTATTTCCAAATCTCCCACAAATATGGGCACATAAATTAGCAGTAAGGGTAAGTGTGAATGATAGAGGACATGATCTAGTTAAAGCATTGTAGAGTTTCTCTGAGGGAAGTGGCACAGTCTGAAGGGCTGACAGCAGCTCTAACAAAGTGGAAAGTGCAAGCATACACTGGACTGAAAACAGCTGGTCTGGCACATGCCTTTTTTCTTTCCCCCTCAAAGGTGTTTTATGGATGATTGTACTCATTCTACGGTTAACAGCAGATAGGTTACATGTCACTAAGTTCATGGGAAGTCTGGAACCAGGGACAAATTATTCAGTAACGTAAAGCTGAAGATAGAATTTGGACAAATGGGAAGAATGGTAAGTGCAAGCACAGTAAAAAAATAAAAATCCCTCAGTGTCATTTTAGAGCCATGCAAGGAAGCAGCATGTTTAGTGCAGGACACTTTCCTGAACTTACTTCAAATGTACTATTCACACCAGAGAACCTGCTCTATTTTCTAGTACTGAAGATCCCAGTTGTGCTGAAAGTTGCCAAAATTCCAGCTTACATGCACATTTCGCCAAGAGATTAAAAAGCAGCAATTTCCTTATACATGAAATTTTGCAAGCTGTGTTGTTCAGATTGGCCCCTTATGAAGTGCAACTAGGCAATTTTACCCTTCCGTTGTTTTTCTGTGCAGTCAGAAGCACTGGAAATCCCCAGAGATACACACTCATCCCCACTTACACTGGTTGACAGCAAAATTTAGATGCAAGCGGTACTCAGGGTTTTCCTGGTCCTGTTTCAATGCAGCTTGTTTCCAATTTTCAGGCAATTACCTTCTCTACTTTTGATTTCATTTTCAGGATGGATCAATACAAAAAAAATACACTGTGACACAGTTTCATCTGCAAAAATTTTGAATCACATTTGTTAAATGCAAATTTTCTACAACTCTATGATGAGAAATTCAGACTCCAATGTAGTGGTTAGGGAAATAATTTTTGAAGATAAAGAAAAATAAAAACACATACTCTGCTTTTTTTTTACCTATATGTCACCATAATATAAATTATTTACATGTCTAGTGCAACCTTTAAAACACAAGTTTCTGACCTGATCTACTTACTTTGCCATCCATGTTAGGAGTGCTTGAAAGATTTTAAGAAAGTAATTTTATTAAAACATAATAGTCAAGCAGAGAATTAAACAACACATCAGGATAGGTGCATAAGTAACTATGTCTAAGCAGCCATTAAATATATTTCAAACAGTTAACTTCAAAAACATTGCTTCAATAAACTACACTAGCTACACATAATTAAATAAAATCAACTTCACCACCTTGATGATTTTAGAAGAGGAATTGACACTTATCAAACAAAAATACAAGAAACTTTGTGGCATTATCTGAAATACCTTTTTCTTTGCATAAGACCTTCAAAATTTCAAGTGTCTGTGGAAATGTTTGCTTCTTTCCCACACAGACTTAATTTTCTCTGTTTTCACTAGTTTGAATGAAATGATAATGCCCAGGTAGTAATGGCCAGAGTAGTAATCGTCCAGGTAGTTTCTGCCAGCACAACAGGTTCTCTGACATATGTCAAATCAGGCTGGGTTACAAAACCAACATATTTAACACACAGCTGACTTTTTCTCAATATTTTCCATGAGATAAAAAATTCAACCACCACCATTGTTAGCATAGAAACTCAAACCACTGCAACTGCTTGTAATCTTCTACCCAAAATCTGACTGCAGTCACTGGGTTATTGGTGTAAATTTGACCTAAGGTTAAAGGAACTAAGTAAATAAAACCAGACTTAAAGAACTAAAGTATACAGCTACAGATTCAGAGCAGCATGGGGATGTGCCCTGCTAAGCTGGACCAAATTCAGCATTTGCCATATATGCATCACATCCTAACAGACACAGGTTTTCAAGACAGTTTGGAAACAGTAATTTGAAAGAAGCAGATTATGGATTAAGTAGAGCTCGATGACATAAGGCAGGGGCAGCAAGAGTGAGCACCGGCCAAGCTGGCTCCTTGTGCCAAGTGCTGCCAGGTGCAGAGGGCTGTGGAGACATCTCAAACGCAGCCCAGTGAAGCTGCATTGTAAAACCTGAGTAGTGCTACCACTGGTTCAGCACAAGGTCTGCCTCATTTCTAACCCAGCTCTTGAAGGGTAGCATTTGAGTAAGAACTTCCCTATATTCATGAAAACACTTCTGAGACAGGGGAGTTAGTGCAAAAGCAGGAGCCACCAGAAAAACTACACTCCAGCTAATAATTTCTGCAAACTGACAGCAAATTGAAATCCAGTGAAGATAACCAACAAGTATCCCAGAGAGAAATGCTACCAGAGTAACAAAAAGTCTTTTACATAAATTCCAATAATGTAGACAAAGAACTGCTACCAGAGGCTATCCACAGGGATGGGAAGTTCAGGTTTACAAAAAACCTCCCTTGTATAACCCAATACACATCAAAACCTCTTTCAAAGCTCACCATGTGCATCAGATTAAGAACAGCATCTGGATTTAATGCTTGTTATCAAGCTTGCGGCTTTGCTGAATTCTACTGAAGCAAACATCACAGATTTCTGAAAAGCAAGATCATACAGGAAGCTCTCATCTGGGGCAGGGATTAAGTTTTTAAAAGGCACTATAATCTGGATGCAGGAAGGTTTCCTTTTAAATCAGACATCAAAGTTAGCCCAGGAAGAGGTTAGTCAATCATTAATATGAAACATTACTACCAGCACAACTCAGTATATGAATGAAAGATTTAGGGCTGGCCACAGTTTCTTGAGTTGTAGGAGTCTGAGTCATTGCTGCTGATAAGATACCAAAACAATAAATCAGTATGAAATGAAGCCATCAGAGAGCAGCTGATTGGAAAGGTGGGGGGGGGGGGAAATAATCTTTATATTGAGACAAGCATATTTGCAGTTTTCTGAAAATAGAGTGCAAGTTATATAGCCTGTACCCCCTATAAAGGGGTACATTTTTTTTTGTAGTTTCATTGGTTGGTGTTTGATTGTTAAATCAGGGCAATTAATTCTAGACAGCAACGGAAAAAAAAAACCCAAAACAATAAAAAGCCAAGAAAACAGACCTCTCTGAAATGCCAAAGAGTATTACTTCCAAGTATTTCATACTGAAGAATGCATAAGGTCCTTCAGACACCTGCTGCTTCATTAAATTACCCATCCCTTTGTGTAACATCAACACCACAAACTGATGCAGCCTTATTATGGCAGATAAAAAGCAGGAAGTGCTTCCTGCGGAACGGGAACCATGTAAGAGCTGGAAGCAGCAACCAGTCACTGGAGGTGATGCTCAGCACACATGGGTGCAAGCAGGACATGGCATCTATCTTCTCAGAGTGGAACTTAAAAGCAGGTTGGGAAAATGGCTACTGGCCCATTAGATAAAAATTCAATTTGTAACTGGTCATGCATTTATTCAGATGCTGAGAGTGTCCAAAAAAAGGTTTTGCAATTGGAACCTGGATAATTGTCTGTGGAAAAAAAAAAATTATTAAGCACTAGTAAGCTAGGACCAGGGAGTGCCACAAAAAAACCCCATACATTAGATAAAAATTCAATTTGTAACTGGTCATGCATTTATTCAGATGCTGAGAGTGTCCAAAAAAAGGTTTTGCAATTGGAACCTGGATAATTGTCTGTGGGGAAAAAAAAAAATTATTAAGCACTAGTAAGCTAGGACCAGGGACTGCCACAAAAAAAACCAAGACAAAACAAAATTAGGTTCCACTTTCACCGTATCACAGAATTCACTAGGTTGGGAAAGACCATAGAGATCCTCAAGTCCAACCTATAACCTAACACCACCTTATTAACTAGAGCACAGCACTAAGTGCCACATCCAGTCTTTCCTTAAACACTTCCAGGGACAGTGACTCCACTGCCTCCCTGGGCAGCCTATTCCAATGCCCAATCACTCTTTTCTGTAAAGAACTTTTTCCTGATGTCCAGCCTAAACTTCCCCTGGCACTTTGTGTTTGCCTAATTATTTTTTTCTGTCATCCTATCAGCTAACAAAACTACTATGTTAGGTTTTAAAATAAAGCAAAGAAAATTGAATAACATATTTTAAGGAGTAACAACATGCTCTCCAAAAAATCACTTCTGTTCTCCAGAGAACACAAACTACTACTTTGGCTTTGTCTGACAGGTAGATCTAGCAGGAAGATGACTGAAGAGATGGAAGTGAGATTGTCATCTTCACTGTGGGGACAACGCACACAATATGCTGAGACAGTTCTGGTAGCAGTTTCTGCTGAAATAGTTAAAGATGACAGCTTTGGTCTAAATTAGTACTCAGCCACCACACCAATGGATTATTTACAAGTGTACAGGCTGTAGCTCTCATCAGGAAAAAACAAGTGTACAGGTAGTCAGGCTGCAATCCTGCCTGGCAGGGGGTAACAGGATGTTCTGAGTAAAACAGCATAAAATTTGGGTTACGGTCCAGATTCCAGTACCAGTCCAAACCCATCCCATCTCACTAGGCAAGGCTGGGAAATACAGCTGCTCAATCATGGCCAGGGTGTAGCAGTCATTACAAGGGTACTGCTTCAAGCTAAGACATTACTGAATCAAGTTCCACATTAGCAAGGAGAAAAAGTTGAAATATTTACGCTGAACTGCAAAAAAAGAAAGGCTAAACTGGGAGATCAGGTAAACTTCTACAAGCACATGGTACAGAGAACAAAATACACACCTAAGTGAGTCCCTCGCTCTCCTGAGAAGACAACCCAAAAGGCATTTGGATCTTAAAGTCCCCAGTGTGAAGCAAGCTTCTCCTTTTGTACATACCTAATCACACTACAAAAGCTGGTGCGGATTCTGCTCCCTCAGTCTCCCAAAAATGTGTACATTAAATTCAAATGGACAATACTGCCCATTTTGTGACCCAGGCAGTTTGTCTCTGGGGACACCCCATGTAGCACCCAATCCCCAAGCAAGCTGAAAAGCTGAACTAGACAACTGATCAGCAAAGCTGCTGCTTCACAGAGGCACTCCTGCACAGAGGTAAAAGCTCCTTCCCTTGGCCTCAACAGAGTTTTTGACAAGTTGCTCTCTCAAAAGGGTGACTTATTCAAACTCTGTGAGGGTAAAAACTGGGGTTTTTACCAGTGGAAAGCTCTGAAAACCATGCAAAGGCTTTATTTCCCCCAGCCCTGTGCTGAGACGAGACGCAGCCTGTAGGACAGAGTGGTGAGTGCACAGAACACCAACTGCTGTGCAGGGGACACTGCAGCAGCCGTGCAGCCTCAAGTGCTCCACGCACACCACAACAGCAGCAACTACTGCAGGCTGCAGCTGCTAGTCTACGTGGACTGAATCTCCCAGGGTACTCTGGGATCTTTCTTTATGTTTTAATCATTTATAAACTACCAAAAGCCACGTGTTTCCGAACTGCACCTTATTACTCATTCCGCAGGAAAAACCTGTACGAGTGCAGTCAGCCACACACTGTGAAATGTAGGAAAACAATAAATTAACAAATCTTCTGAGAAAAAAAACCAAGACACTTTTGGTTCTACTTCTTTTTCTTGCTCTCCCCTTTTTAAATTTGATGCCTGATGCTTTTTAATTTGCCTTATGATTAAATTATTTTTACACTGAACTTAATTCTTGTCTTTAATGGACAACTAATATAAAGTTAAAATAAAACAAAACAAACAACAAAAAGTAATCCCAAAAGCAACAACAACAAAAAAATGAAAAGGCATTCTTGTTGCATACCTTTCCACTTATCTCCTACCTCGACGACAGTCTTTCCACATAATACTGCACAGCAAAGCAAAGTTTTACAGAAATGTTTCAAAATCTCTTGCTGGTGCCAGAATTTAAGAATGCATCATCCATGCAACTAATAAAAATTAATTTTCAATTTGATTACAGAAGTCACTATAAAGCTCACATCAGAGCTCAGGTAACCACAGCACTTACAAAGGTGTTTAATGCTGTTGGTTTTGCATGCAGACTTAGCTATGAGGGCCTCAGCACACCCCATGTCTGAAAAAATAAATGCCAGCATTGTAGTCAGAAAATTACACTAAGATATCACAACTAAATTAACAAAGGTTTTTTTTTTAATGTGAGTTTTATGAAAAATAGATCTGCAATATCTACCCAATTTTATAAAACTTCAAAGTTCTCTTCTGTTATATGTTAAAGGGACAACCTTAATTTTTCAACTTGTCTTCCAAATGCATCCCAAATAATAATAAACAGGTGGCATGTCAGAGATCTGCACACAGGAAAGGTCTGATAGTGCCACAGTTCTGTTAAGCACTGTATAGTCAGTGCAAAAATCACTGGAAAAAAAAGGTACAAAACCACAAAATTACAAATTAAGAGCTATGAGATAAATAGCCAAATACAGTGAAATTAAGTCAAATAGCATGTGTAAAACACCCAAGGTCTGTTGAGAAGACAATTCATGAAGTGGGATATGAAATTGTTTAACAAGGTGCAAACTTACCCACAGGAAGATAAACCAGCCATTTATTAAGCACAGAAATTAAAGTCATGGGTATTGCTTCAGGAAAGCATCACGTTTAAACCTCAAAGTATCTCAAAATATACTGCATAAAAATCTGAAAATTTTCTGAGGTGTTGAAATATTTGTGCAGTGGATTGATTTGTCCCAGAAGACACAGAGCTTTTCCTTTCAAGGCTATCAATTAAACCATTCTCACATTTCAAAACACTGTATCTCTCCATAGCTGTAATGAAGAGCCACTTACCAACTTCAACTGGTTATAAAACACAAGTGTATGAAAAATTGCTATTTGATATTCTTATAAGAACAAAAAAGTAACAACCCAAGTAAAGTCAATGTGAGATACTGATACGCTGTAATTTAAATGCTGTCATTTGCCATCCCAGAGAAACACTCTGTCCCACACAAAGAACATTCCGAGGCAGGCTCATTCTGCTCTGGCTGATGCACACCTCCGTGCCTCTCCAGACTGGGCTCCACACCAGACCAGACCACCCCAGGGCACCAGGGCTGATGCAATCATGCAAATGATGTAAAAAAACCTCACCCAAGAATTAATTACTCATTTCCATGGGTAAGTCAGTCTGACAGGTGACCTCCTCCTCCTCCTGGGGAAAAAAAATTTCCCCACCCTTCTGCATGTCTCTTAGTGCAACTTCAGGCTCCACCAAACAGGAATCTCTAGTGTAAACTACTTACAATTCTGATTCTTGCAAGTTACGGATCTTTTCTTCCATGATGTGGGAAACTTGTACACCTTCTAAAATAGCACAACCACAGGGAACAGGCACTGTATGTTACCAAATACCCATCTCAGTATCTCCAAGAAATAGTAACTCCTTGAAAGCGTACTTCCAAATTCACTTTTATGTCCACACTACTGGGGCTTTTTTTACCAAGAATTAAAATAATCCAGTATGTAAAACCTCCAGCTACAGGTGAATTAAAGGAGTCATCTTGACACCATGGACAGAGAGAGGCTTGATCTGCAGGTGAAGCACAGTGTTTTGCAGTGTTTGATTATAAAAGTGTTTAAAATAATGCACAGCACACTCACCATATTTTAATTTTTTCTCTGAAATTATGGACATGGAGATACTACTCTAAAGCTGGGGGAGGAGGTGCCAGTAAAACACCTTTGAGTGGAACCAAAAGTCTGGAAAAAAACCTGTTCTTACTATACCTAGTTTCAACAGAGCACACCAGAGAAATTATACAGCAGGTGTGTGCATCACCAACTCACTGTCTCTGCCCTGAACCAGATAGTGTAGTGTTTTGTTCAATTTATTTGAAACTTGCCTGAACTGCCTCCACAAGTTTTTAAAATTCTGTAATGGGAGAGAAAATTTGGATTAGAGAAAGTACACAGGAAACTTGTTTCCCCATGCACATACAACAGACATGTGTCTGGAGAAATGTGACACTCTCTGGGGGAGTAGACACAAACCAAGGGAGCTTTATTCCTCCATTTTACAGAAGAGGAGGAGTATTCCATGCTTGAAAAAACTTATTCTTCAGAAAAAATGTAGCAGTATGCCAGAAGTGCTGTTTGTGCTGTATCCACTTAACTTTACCTTATGGAAATGAGCCAGTTACGAGGTTGTAAAGTCTTATCCTTAGGCGAGCTTTCAGGTAAAAACATGTGGGATGAGTAAGAGATGAGTAAAAGAACTCACCAACTCCTGCTGAGTTTCCAGACAGCTTGAAACAGATATTTACAATTAAAAAAGGAAGAGATTCAGCAATTCTGATAAAATAACAATTAAGTTAGAAACTTAATTAAAAATAAGCTTTGAGGGTTTTACTGCATGATGTGGCAATCTATGTATTTGCATCATACTGATGCCATATCCTTTTCTGCAGACAACCAGGCACAACATTTAACTCTCTGCCGGTCTTATTTAACCCTTCTGCTCCCTGCAAACACATTTTACCTTCTATTCATAGCTGAGAGAAACCAAATTCCACACTAAAGCTATGTTGATATAAAGAAATACCAACTGACACTGAACAAATCTGAACACATCCAACAGAGACCTTCCTTGCAAAATTTGTTTAGCCAGCCCCCACCCAGGATGAATTCCTATATCCTCACATGCAGGACCCAGAACAACGCAAGTATGTGCACCAGTTCCGTGTGCTGGTCTGCATTTGCTGGTTTGTTTTTTAAATCAAGAGACTAAAATCGTAATTCTGGGTAAGAGTATGATGTGATATGCCAGCCAATTGCCCTCCTTCCCAAAGGGAGCAAAAACTCTATCCCATAATACAAAGTCCTGTCCTTCCCTGCTTTGACAGGCATTAGAAGCACTTCCATAGCTGAGTCCCCTTAACCCCACCTGTGCCATTACTGCATCCCTTGGATTTCAGGTGGTTGTCAGAGAGTTTCTTCCACTATCCACCCCTACACCTCCTGAGGAATGGAATCCATACACTGACTTTAGGACACTATGCCTTCTCTTTCTTAAATTCATTACCAAGGCAAATACAATTACTGACAGTTTTTAAGAGCAGCATGAGCACCATGTTAAGATGGGCACTGCTGGATGAAAAAAAGTAATTCTAAAATGAAGTCTAGGTCTGTAGCACAATTATCAAACTGTTTAAATCTTCTGTGCTATAGTAACTTTCTTTTCATAGTGGACTACCAAGTTTCCGAATTGCCTATTGCAAAAGAGAACAAATTACTGCTGAAAAGTGCTTTCCCATCAGAATGATTCTAGACTATGAAAGAACTTTCATCCCACTGTTGTTACTTCTAGCCATGGAAATACAAATAGTGCCTTTATAAGATCTATGCTAACAAAGACTTAGGCCTTTTGATCTGCTTCCACATAACACTAACAGAATTGCCAATATGGAACAACACTACTTTCTATAGTCAATCTATATACTCTCTTCTTTTAAACAATAAGGTTACATATGAAGACCTGTTTTGATCCACTGAATCATACTTAGTTTAAACCAGCAATTACAAGCTGTAATTTGAACAATCCAAACAAAAAATGGAAAAGAAAGCTGAATTGCTGTGAAAAAAAAATAGCTCTGTCCTTCTGTATACCTCAGATAATGTATCTGCTATAAAATGGAAGTTATTACTGTATGTACTTCACCACTTGAAATAAGATGGAAAAAGGAATAACTGACCTGGTCCACAAAACATGCTAAGTTCAAATTCAACAGAAGTGTGTTTTTTAAACTGCATACACACTGACAAAAGTATCTGCCTGCTGAACATCCATATGCAATCCTGAGTCACTGAATTCCTTCAGCATGCAAGTGAGCCTAACAAAACTAACAGATGATCAACATACTGAAGCAGACTGCTGCATCACAGCCTCCATTACACAGTACGGTACTCGCCGTGATTTACTCTTGGTGAGAGCAGGTTGGCATCCTGATGCACGCTGGCATCCTGACGCTGTCTCTCTTCGTTCTTGTTTCCCCCCCACCCCAAACATCACAAAAGTAAGATTTATACAGTACATGGTGACATAGCTAAACCTTTAATGCAGGAAGTGCTGGCTTACACAGGGGTCCTCCAACTTACCTGTGGCTTGGCAGAAGAGGTGGAAGGGTCCCCGGACACTAACATGCTGTGCCTGGTCACTTAGGAAAGGTGGCAACAACATGACCTTTACGGGGTCTTTGCTAGACCAAACATCAGGCTGGGTACGGGTGGGTGAAGGAGGTGAATCACTTCCCACACAGGACAAAAAGGAGGTACCAGTAGGAGGGAAAGGTATAGGAGATGAGGCTGTGTGACAGAAGAGGACAGAAAAGAAAGTAAAAGGGTACTAAGGAAAGAAGTTGCAAGAAATACATCACATAATGAAGAAATAATGCAAAAAGACAAATGGATTTAGAAAGATAGTAAGACGAAGTATCCCTAGGCCCCTAGAGAAGAGCATTTTTCTCCTCCTCCCACGTTATTTTTCTCCCATCCTTCCCACCTCCCCACCCTGGGTTATAACCCATTCAGCTGAAGCCGAGAGACTGCTTCAAATTAATTACAAACTTTTTACATTCCCCCCAAGGAAATCACAAGGAACATTAGTGCTTGCCAAATGGAAAGCACTGTGTCATTGTGTCACATTTCAGAAAAGCCAAGATTAATACAATTTATTTTAATATTTATTCTGTTATATGTACATAATTAAAAATAGAAAAATAAAACCAAACTGAATCTTATAAAATATAAACTGTTTACACTAAAATGGTCTAAATTATGTTTGCATGAAGGTTCAACACAGAAAAGCAGCCCAGGCATACTGCTATTTACTGTTAAAATGTATTCTACTTCTAGCAATATTTACAGAACGAAGCAGTGAGAGGAACAATTCTTCAGGACTGTACTGCACACATAAAATGCTTTTACAGACAAACAGTGCTGCTGTGAACCAGGCTGAGAACAAATGCACACTTTCACGGTAGCAGGCATGATTCACATAAACAGTTCAAAGGACTGATTGTTTAAGCAGCTCCAGTTTCAGTCTCCAGTTGCATAGGAGAGTGAAGGTATCATCCAGAAAGGGTGACGCTGCAAGTATTTGTCACAAAAAGAAGCTGAGTTATTTCTGAACCTGAAAAGAAGAAAAAAATCAGCAACGTTTTCTCATCAGGCTGTGTCCCAACAGTCCATTCCAGCAAGTCACTAGCTGAATTGTTGGAGTTAATTCTTCTTGATTCCTCTTTTGCTTCCACAATGCAAGAAACCTCTTTCCTTGTCACTGCTAAATGACAGTTGCTTGCCTGTACTGTTCTACAAACTAAAGGAAAAAAAAAATAAATCCAGTTTTGTATAGAAAATAAAATGTGACTATGCCCAGCTGGCTGGCTGGTGGGGGGGAGGAAAAAAAAAAATGAAGGAAAAAAAGAAGCATTTGTTTCCTCCTTCCCCATTCCCCACTTACTCCATGTTTTGTACTGATATTGTTGTACCTACATTTCTAGAAAGCAGCAAAGAAAAGAGCCTTTAAACAAGATTATCCCTGAGTCTTACACAAATCAAGGCAATGCTATCCCCATTATACCTTAAAATCTAAGATACTTGTAGAGCAGTTAAAAAAATTAACTTTAACCAACTAAAGAGACCTAGTGTGCCAAAACACAAAGCATAAAACTAAAAACAGTCACTAGAAGCAAAGAAAAAAAATGTCCCAATCTGGACAAAAGTCTATAATTTACCAATCTGATAAACTAAACTCAATTTCCAATTTGGAATTAAAATGAAACTAGATCTTTTTTTAATGGCAACTAAAAATATGTGAAGACTGAAGTACCTTTTAAAGCCAACTGAATTATAAAGTTACTTTTGCTCTATTGAAGAATATGGCCAAAGAACAAGCAAGTAGCTTCACTAGAGCAAAGTGCTCAGTGGGGGGGAAAACTGGGAATAAACAAGTGGTGATCTGAAACTGGCCATTTGAAAAAAACAGAAAAAAAGACAGTACAACACAAGATGCTATGGTCTCCAGACAAGCACACCACTTCTCTAATCTGCTGAGATCTGAACAAAAATTGGCTTGCTGTACAGCTTAAGCATGTAACCCCTGCTATGGCTTAGCTGTCACACCCAGGCTCTCCGTGCTCAAATAGCCAGCCGCAGGAGCACAGCTCACTTCTGCCACTGAGAGGGACCATGGGCTCCTTCAGTCCCCCTCCACGTCCGAGTCGGCGTACTTGAGCTCGCACTTGACGTCGAAGGGCTTGTCCTTGGCCTCACGGGAGGCCTGGGAATCCCCAGCCTGCAGCTGGCTGTTCCCGCAGTCGGGCTCCGTCTCGTAGCCGGTGTCGTGCGCAGGCTTGGGCTGCTCCCCGCTCTGGTGGCTGACACTGCCCTGCTCCACCAGCGTCTCTTTCACACTTTGCTCGCAATCAGAAAAATCTGACTTCGTTTTCTTCTTACCAAGCAGCATCACAGAGCGAAATTTCAAGCACTGCCCGGGCAAGTAGCCTTTGTAACAGTTGTAGGAGAGCAGGCACAAAAAGAGAATGAAAAAGAAGAGGAAGAGGAACATCAACAGGAAGTTATCATTTGACTTGAGGAACATTGTCTTTTCCGGGACTGCATCAGGAATTGAATTGAAGAGCTCTGTGTTGGAGGCTACACTTGTTAGGACAGGGCCAATGGGCTTTGTTAATATCCTTGCTGTGGTTACTGGTACCATGTGAGTGGTCGAGATGTGAGCAGTGGACACCTCGGTTGATACAGCTGACACTTTTGGCACATCACTATTACCTTCTGTTGGTGCAGCTGTTGCAGTGGGGCCCACTGTGGTATGCTGCATTTTTTTCAGTTCCAAAACATGCTTAGCTAGCACTTGAGAAAATTTTTTATTTTTCACTTTTTCTTCTGACAAGCATTGGTAAACACCACTGTCTCCTTCTGATAAATTGAAGATGAGCAATGCCTTCTCCAGCAGACGGTACTTGGGACTCTCCACTCTCAGCACGTCATCTTTGAACTTCCAAACTACCTGTGCCAGATTGGACTTTTGAGAACACTTGAGTTCTGCTGTGCTCCCATGCTTGAATGTATGCTGTAGGGGATTCTCTCTTACTTTATCTGGAACATCAAAATAAATGTGCAAAGTATCAGCAATGATTCCAGTTTGCTCTAATCTGTACAGCTTCACCAGACTGTGTTACAGTCTTACTGGAAGCATGAAGATTATGGCATTCACCTCACAAGACCAGGTGGACAGCATGCAAGAATCTCAGCAGAATACCAAGCTGCACGTGGAACATCAAGACAAACTAAGAGACAGGACACCTCAACTCTAAAGACAGCCTCACTTCCAGACAGAGGTGAGACCTCACTGATCCACAACTGAGTGTGCACCTGAGAAGTCACTGTTTGGGGAAGATACTGTACTTGGTCTCACTTTATATCCAACTAGTGCATTTTAAGTAAAGCAGCAACTACAAAGTATCCAAGAGGAAACTGAACTAGGAACTCTCTTCTGAAAAAAAGGATATTTGCACTTATGGAACACCTGCAACTTATGGCATCCCACAAGTTAATAAAAAAAATAACAAGCAAAGCTCTCATGGTGCTTTGCTTGGATTATAATTAAAAAGTGAGTAGGTCGAACTCTTAAGAGCTTTTTTTACTTGCAGCTAAAATCTCCTGTAACTCTACTCCACTTTATGATCTCCTTGATCTGGTGGCAGCAGCACACAGGACAAAGAACGGACCTATGGTTACCTGCTTCAAAGCACTATGGAAGGTACTTCAGCTACTCTCTATCATGTTCTATGTTACCCCTCCCTTTTCACCATAAAACCAGCTTTTTTTTCAGAATAATTTAATCTGATCTAGCAGCAATAACCAAGCACTTGTCAAAGCTCACAGTAGAATGTCAAATGCTGCATCAAAGAGACAGAGGCCTCTGCATTAGAAGTACTTCTGGTATTGCTTTCATTCACAAGTCACTGTTGAGGTGCCCCCATTCATTTCAGGGGGTTGTGCACTGCACACTGAAATGCATACAAACACAGACAGTTTTTAAGACAACATGCAGGTTATACAGATGCTCAAATATTCAAAGCAGAATCCCGTACCTATTACAAAGTAAATGAATGTCCAGATAATCACAAAACCAAAGCTGAACTAAATAAACAGAACTCTCTCACCACTCCACCCAGACATATGAAGGAGCTCTTCGAAGACTGACTCACCAGAACACGAAGATGCATCTCCACCTATGTTTTGAATCCAGTTCCTGTAAAAAGAAGTCCATCATTACAACTTAGAATCTTGTTTCCTGAAGTCTGCCCATCCCCTTGTACTATTAAGTCATCTAAACAGCACTAGCAGACATAAAATAGATAGGAGAAAGTCTGTATTTGAAAACATTCAATTTCTAAAATTCCAATTATCAGTATGGGACAAGACTGATTAAATACTGACTGAAACTGTAAGTTCATCAAAGGTACTATTACCTTTCCATTTCACCTTCTTTAAAAATATCAATGCAGGAAGCTTCAAGGGGTTTCCAAGCACAGTAAGGATCCCTTGCTAAAACACAGTCAACACAAGTGGTATACTTGTCACAAAATGCCACTGGAGACTGCACCACACCAGAATTTGAACCAGCAAAGAGGTATCTTCTGCCCTACGGAAAACAAAGCACAACAGAAAACCATCACACTCAATCACTTTCTCAAACCTAAACAATGCAATTCATGGAACAATTTAAGTGTTATTAAAAAGCTGCACACATACAGCCTTTTTTGTAAAAGCGGTGCCTTGGGAGAGTAAGCACTTGCTTAGCTTTTGTTTCTAGAAAGTTGTCTTGGAACTATTGTACCAATGCTGAAAAGTGCAAAAAGACAACAAAAAACTGGAACAGGTATGTGGAAAGTAACCATGACTAACTATGACTTTATCTGTTTTCCCAGAAATATGAATGCAATAATCTTTCTCTGAGGCAAGGCAAGGCTGCGCTGGTGACAAGGCTTCAGCTGGCACACGCAAGACTGAGCAGGTAGTTGGGCTGCTCCTGTTACCCAAAGCAGCCCTACTGCCTTCAGCTCTTTAGCCAGCCAGTCTCTGCAGCCACATCAGCGTCATCCTTAGGAGAGTTCTTAAGAAAGAACACTGGTAACATTCAAAGGAAACAGCACTGGCAAGACACCGAGAAGAAAAGGGAAATAATCACAACAGCTGCTGAACCATTGCTGCTGGGGATCCCAAAGCAGTCTGACTCCGAGCACAGCAGGAAGAGACCACGCTCATCCCTATTATAGAAGGCACGCAGCTGCCGCATCTCAGCCATCCACCTTATTGCTCAGGGAAAATGATAGCTAAAGGTACACTGTGACTTTGCATACTATCAGGCAAGCCTCAAGAAAGGGATGTGATGCAGTGCTCATACAAGGAAGTCTGCAGTGTTGGAGACTTTACAACTTCCTAGGAAAAGCTTCCCATTCTGCTCAAAGATTTCCACAGCCCACCAAGCACTGCTCACTCTCTCTACTGCTCTGCTGGATTACACTGCAACAGTGCAACACTGCACATGCGTTGTGGTGTCTTGGCATGTTTCCCAGCTCATAGATCCAAGATTCCAGGGAACATGCAGCGAGCTGAGCAAACCGTTTAAAAAAAATTCCAGACACACTTTCCAGTTAAGCAGGAGTTAAGGTGATCTACTGTAGGCTCATCTGACTGCTCACCACCCTCCACACACTATGGGAAGAACCTAGAGACTAGTGAAAAATGCTTTCAGAAAGGACTCTGACTCCAGAGAGGTCTAAAGCCCACCATCAGGGTAATTATTATCCTTCTGTGGTTAGTCCACTACTGTGGGATGCCATGACATGTAACACAATACCAGCTCTGTGATGGACTTCAGTAGCCACTGACTGTGGAGGCAGAAACTTGTGTTTTCAGGCTGGGAAGCAGCAGGAATCCCTACTTGGGTGGTACTGTTACCATGACTCTGGCAGCTGACCCAAACTCCCACTCCCCATAACTGAAAAGGACCTCTGGTTTTATGGGAATGTACCGGGCAGTTGAGTACGTCAGTGAGTATGTCGCCCCTGGATACAGAGTGAATAAATTCAATGCCATTATTTCTACAGAAGCCATCCCAGTGTGTGCTGAAATTGCTACATGATGTGTATTTGCATGAGGCTTAATGCCCACCTCTTTCTTAGCACTCCTCTGAATTAGGCAAATCATAATTAAACCAGTGTAGGAATGATCCCACAATTAAAAGAATGAGTATTAGCATATATATTAGAAGAGCTATCAATCATTATCTTCTATGACAGGGCAAATTCCAAAACTTCCTGTCAAAGCAAGTAATTTGAACTTTTTTTGCAGATTAAGCAAATATTAATAGTGTGTATGTATGTGTGTACATATATATATACACACACATCATACATATCATATATAGGTGAGTTGTCAGTGTGATGTATCATACAAAAGTAATACAAATATGTTTATGGAAAACTAAGCACAGACATTTTTAATCCTGCTTTCTGTTTGCCTAGCAAAAACATACTCTGTCCTTTCTTTCTATTATAAGCATTAAAGGATAAATAAGCAGGCAGAATGAGCTTGTAAATAATATGACATAAAGCTCTGGTCCACTGAGCTGGTCATGCTGACATGCAAAATTTTATTAAATATCACACAAAAATAAAAGCTGTTTCAAAGTATTCCTAAGTCCCTAAGCTGCAGAGCACATATGTATGGATCACTAGGTAGCTACTGAATACTGGTATTACCACTAGATACTTCAAAAGAGACACTCAATCTTCATGAAACACAGAAAACCTCACTGATGCTGATGCTACACTGATGCTGTCTAGGCACAGACAGATATATTCATGGATGTGAAGGTCTGAGCAAGTAGGGGCAGAAACATAACTCATTACCAAACTACACAGTGACCATCTTCCTACTGTCCCAAAAGCACTCTAGGATTAGAGCAAACAACTGATAGACAGTGCGGGACAGCTGCCAGGTCTGGAGCGTGCAGCAGCTCTTGTGCCATCAGCTGGAGCTGCAGCTGGCACTCCACTGGGCAGACAGGACGTCAGCAGAGGTCCTCACCCACAGCTGCAGCAACGTGACAGCTCTCATGACACAATCAGCATGCGAGATTTGGGACAGCAGACAATTGTGAGTCCCAGTGCTTGAGGACTTTTCTCTCTTAGGTCTATTTTCTCAGAGCCACACACCACTCCTCTGCTAACCTCTATCACTGGGATTTTTCTTCACAAATCTGCAGTGGCCACAAGGGGTCAGGTTTTTTACATCCCTGCAAAACTGAAATTCGTTTCTTAAAACACCTTTTGTTTCCTGCTTCTGCACATGGAAACCACGTGAAGACCTGTATACCTGTGCTCCTCCAGCCATTCCCCATGTCTAAATACCTCCAGAAGCTTACCACCTACCAAATATACTGAAATGAAGCCAGCAATATGTGAATGCTGCAGCATGGTGAGTCACAAATGCAGCCTTTAGCTGGCTCTATGCACAGTGATGGTCTCTTTATCCCAAGGTCACAAAGTGGTGCAAAAAAAGTTGTGTGTAAGAACAAAAGGAGATATATGCTGTGATGCTTATTCCACTCACTGTTTTGGATGAAATCAAGAGAGTTTGGACTGGCTCAAAATTTGGAAAAAGCTGTGTTTCTTCAATAATATGCATTCCATTTTCATAGCTGATAGCTTTGTGCAGGGCTCCTCGATCTGAAACAAAAGAGCAATATGTTTAAGTAAGATCCTTGAAATAAAAAAGCAAGAAAAAGGCCTACACAACTGCTGTAAGTTGTCTCAATAATCTGCTTCCTGTTCAGCAGAACAACTCTGTGTCAAAGGCAACTATTAAACTTGCCCTCAGGACTTCTGAGCAGGAAATAATATTTTGGGGTACACAATGACCAGTTGGGGATAAATTGTATAGTTTTGCTGAATTCACTGAAGCTTTGCAACTCTTTTACTGCAATCCTTTTTCAAAGCACCTAAGATTGTCCAGTTACTATGACACCTTACTTTTTTTCTTACACCAGCTGCTGTAAAAGCCCTGTAAATATGGAAATCGCAAAGAGTTTCTCTAAGAAAACTTGAGAATCAGTGCATCACCAAAACCAGATGCCCTGCAGAACTCACCTGTACCAATGAACATAACATCATAGATGGTGCCATTGAGTGCTCTGACTCTGTCAACAACAATCTGTGTATACTTCACATCTCGCTTTACTAGGCGAGGTCTGTCTCCCATTGGGGTCACTGAGTCATCCATCAGAGGATGATCTTTAACAAACTGCAATGTTTTGTCTGGTAAATTCAGAGAACTCATGTAGTTTGATGCTCTGGCTTCATTGTTTATACACTAGAAGGGGGGACAGGGAGAGAGTGAAAAAGAAAAAAGAGAACCAAATTGCATCATTTACTTGTACAAAATAAGGACAATTAACAGCAGTTGCATGCATTTTCTTCTCCACGTTATTTTGGCCAGTAACCACACCTGTACACTATATTCACTGTACCAAGGAAGGTCATCAGACCTCATACCACTTTGATGTGCTAATCCCTGAGTTTTGGACTACATTTTTGTTTGGGTCAAAACTACATTCTAAGACAATATTCATTCTGTGCTCTCATACACCTTCAGTACTTTTAACCATCACCTCTTCCAGCACTAGCAACAGTATGACTGTAAGGAACATAAGGAAGTAAAAAAAATCTGAAAGAGACCCAGCACTAGGAAAATTTTATTTTGCAGAGCAGTGCACTACATTGGATAAACACGTTGATTCTACTGAGACAATGCAACAGTTGCATTGTCTCAGTAGAGTCTGAGCAAAAAGTGTATGATATTGCTAGTGTAAACTGAGTTCTATTTCACAATGAGAAATTTATTAACAAAATAATGAAATACAAAACCAGCAAATAATTCCAAATTTAAAAACCCCTAAACCCAAAGACTTTGACTCCCAGATAAAAAGTTCTGAACATATCGCCTGAGTATTTTTCTACGAAGTTTTTATAAGAAGCTACCAGGTGAGGGCAAACATTAGTAGGTTACTGGTATTTCCTAGTCTGTTTCCTCCTGAGCATTGAAAAAGGAATGAGATCCAAGAGCAAAGAAACTTACCGCACCAGGTCGAGGATTCGGAATTTCCCCATTGTATCGTACCCACTTTGTATGAGCCTGTTCCACTGTAGCACTCTGCATGTATTTTCCTTTTGAGAAAACCTCTTCTACAGTAGACAGATTGTATGCACACACTGCTGACAACCCCACATTATTCCTATTAATGCAGGAAGAAATTATGACAAAACCAAAACCCAACAAAACATAGGAATAATTATAATTTTCTTGTAGTAACCAATTGAGATTAAAGGTACTTATCCAGGAAAAGGCTATATCACACTTACAGTTGTGGGGTGAAGACTCCGTATATCACTGGTTCCTTCAAAGTTGGAGATTTGAGAATAAAAACATCATTGATAACATTGAAAATTAAATTCTTATCAGGGATGGTACAAATCAGTCTGGCCTTGAGAAACGAAGTCCATTTTTTTTGCAAGGTCCTTAATCCTCCTTGGTCCCTCTTATGATATTAAATAAATATCATAAAAAGAAAAATAAAAAGGTGTTTGTGAGGAGAACTAGCAGCATTTTTGCACTTGAGAACCACTGCTATAGAGCATGCAATTACTAAGCCCTGGTATTTTATAATATTTCATCTATAGCAACATCAATAAATGTTAACACATTGACAAAACAGTATGAATGAGCACCACAGGAAAACTGGTTCAACAAAAATAATGCAAAATTATTTCTATCACACATACACACAAGATGAAAAACGGGAGTTAAGGAAGAACCATACTTCAGCATCACTCAGAATAACTGAGATGGGCAATGTATCATTAGGAAAAAAGTAAAACAAGCATAGAAGTATTATAGTGTCCTTTAAGAGAAATACATAACACTGCATTTGTTTGGTGACATCAAAACTCATTTAAATACTAACACTGCAATATGCCTTAAGACTTGCCTGACACTGATAATTTCATTAGAAGAAATCCAGACATGGTTTAATCCTTCTAGAAGTTATTTTTTATTAAGGATTTGCAGGTAGCAAGGCTTATGTTGAGATATATTGACTAGAAATGTATTTAAAAATATTTGATATTTCAAATGTATTTCAAAATATTTGAGCTGTAGATCTGGTATTTCCCTTACAAAAGGGCATATTGAAACAGATTAGTATTTCCATTCATTATCCAATTGTGTATGCAATGTATTAAAGGAAATCTGCAAAATTTATTAAAATAATTAAGTATAAATGCTTACAGATTTGCAATCTGTCACTGATTTCTACTTCAAACAACAGTCTGAAATATATAATAAATGAAGCTCTCATATTCCACAATACTCCCCTTTTAAAGTGTGCACAAGCTGTCAGTGGGCAGAGTGCCATAATAGTGCCCCATCTAAACCTGCCTCCAGCTCCTTCTTTAATGGAAATCTCAAGGGCATTAACTTGTTATTGATGTTTTGACTTCCCTGTTTAAATACAAAACAGTGAAGTCAAAATAAAACTTTCAACCTCATAAAAATGAAACAGGCCAGATAAATTTCCTGTTGGAAAAAAAGGAAATTGATACATTCCACTGACAAAGTTTTTGTTAAATAAACATTTTCTACTGAAAAAACATTCATCAGCAAGACTTTTAACCAGCACTCCTGAGCATGTACTTGAATCAGCTTAACACACTGAGGTTTATGCACAACAAGTGTGACAGAATCAGGCTGCTGGTGACCATTTCCCTTCAGGTTCTGGCAGCTGTAGCAGCTTCACAGAAGTCCCATCTGCTACACCAGAGTCAAGAACTATTTTGCAGTGGACAGGGCTACAGCTGTGTTTACATACAGCTGCTTCACAGTTACCTGACACACATCCTATCTGCTCAGCTCCAACCAAAATCACTTCTTCGCAGGGAGCTGTACTTGTTTAAAAAATTTAACAGTGAAAACTGAAGCAACACTTTTCTGTTGCTGGGTTTTGTCATGGTTGCTTTGTTTTCTCCAAGAGAAGACGAGTACCCCCAGATGTACTGAAATTTCACAACTGTGCAAAATCAAATCAACTATTTATTTACAAAGCAACTGTTAGGCCTTCTCAGTTCTGACAAAATGACTGAACAGCTTATTCATTAAGGTTTACTAAACTCAAACACTTCCATTTACCTGGCAGTAAGTCCAGAATAATGAATGCTTTTTAACATGCTCACACAAGATTCTATGAGATATAGTAAAAGTAAACTGAACTATCTCCCACCTTGCATACTCTAGCTATTCTTGGAATCATCAGTTTTCCAACAAATTCATACTCCACAGACACCTCAGTGAAAAAGAAGTATATCTTGTCGTCTTCTCCATCTGTGCTGTTTGGATCTGCTCTTATCACATCAGCAAAAACAAAGCTGGGCTCTACAGATACAAACAGAAGAATTTTCTATTATATATGTGACTACTAACTTGATTCCCTCAAAGACCCTCAGAAGTTGTCTTTCACCCAAACTCCACACTGCATTTACTTCCTCTCCACTTGGTGACCTACTTACACATTTAATGTACATCACATGAACAGGATTTCTATAAAAACCCAAACCACGAAAAAAAACCCCAGAAAGAGAAAAAACCCCAGAACACCACAAAACCTATGTGAAGCACTAAGATACTGAGAGATCTCTATGATCTGACAGCTCATTCAGCATTCTTCAGTCCACAGTCAAATGTGGTTTTATATTCTAATGGGCCTGGAGAGGTAACCCTCTCTTGACTGCCTCTCCTCTATTTCAGCTATTAGCTGAAGCACTTAAATGACAGTTGCCATTACAATATATATTACAAAATTCAGAATCCTGTACTTTTTGGATAATGCTCATTTTTTTGGTCCTTTTTGGAACAAAGCCTCAAACTTCTGAAAATTCACAAAATGCAGTTAATTTTCAAGTTCAGGAACTTGAAAGTGTCCAAAACCACGATCATCTCAATTTAAGAACCAATTCAAGACCAAAAACATTCAATTCCTTACCATACCATAATTAAGCTGCATTATTGCAAGGATAAGCAAGCAGATAAGAAATAACCATTAATGCCAAGTTGAAACATGTGTATTTTGAAGCTGTTTTCATCATCAGTACTGATAAAAATCGTGACATTTCAAAATAGAATCTCTTGGATGCAGGAGGGCACACACTCACATCGTATCCAGTATAACCAAATCTGTCTCTTTGAGACATCAGACAATTGCTCCTTACCCAGATAAGACACTCAAAGTCCATATGTGTGATATTGAAAAACTTGTCTGGACCACTTCTTATGCTCACTTACCATTAAGCCAAGGTATTGCATACTCTGTTCTCAGAGGGCTCTGATGAGAGTGACGTGAAATAATAGGTTCACTTCCCAAGAAATTGTAGGAAGTCCCAGAATAAAGCTCCTCATCTTCAACACAAAACCAAATATATTAGAACTTATGGACTGGATACCAAAAAGGGTACACAAATATTTTGTGAGTCTATCTTAGGTTTTAACTTCCCACAAGAAACGGTAAACACGGATTTCCTCCAAAATGCCCCAGATACATCTTTTATGTTTACATTTCTGACAATCACTCTCAAGCTAACACTTCCACACTTGGGTTTATTATTATTATTGCTCTAACACATGACCTGACAAAAGTAGTCGTTGTTTTCATGGCATTTTAACATTTAACATGAAAACCTACAGTTTATCTTAAAACATGCAAATTTACTTAAACGCACCAGAATTCTGGAAATGCTTTCCTCTCTTTCTATGCCACCCTTATTCAAACTTGATGTGTACAAATTTAGGCATAATACAGGGAGCATATTTTTTTATTCTCATTTCCTCTTTCATGTGATGTAGAGCTTCTCTTTTATGATCTTGATACAGAGAGGTAAAAGCCACAAATTCTGGCTTCCCCAGATTAAGATTTGGTGGTGTGTTTCCACGCAGGAAGAACACTTGCATTAAACATCTCACTTCCCTATTCTGTAGCACATCTTCAGGACAGCCAACTATACTGCTTGTTATATTGACTGAAATTACAGTAATTGATACTACAAGGGCAGTCTAAGTACATTTAGACTATACGGATTAAATATGTTTAACATCTAGAAGTACAGTTTGAAAATTGGTATTTTAGAACTTGCTTCCGAAACAACCTAGTCTGACGTTCTCCTTTGAAGAAACATTCTTAGGTTGCCTTCGTAAGTATTTTATCATCTGTACAGACACATAATACAGACAGAAAATATGGATGCAAGCCACAATTTTGATAATGACCAACTGGAGAGTGACAGTGGAAAAGATAGAGCATTTTTAGACATAAGAATGAGGAATGCAAAGTCTGAACTTACCAACCATAACAGATGTGTAGCTTTGAGCAGGATCAAATGGACATCTGCCCTTACCATCTTCATTTTTACCTCCAAGTTCAAATGAAATTAAATTCTGTTGAAAACCACAAAACAACTACTAGAACCTTTTTCTTTCAGCCACTCAACTTGTGCAAAGTTAGCTAAAAACTAAATAATGGGCTATGCCATCAACTTCCAGCATCAAAGGCATTCTGTGTAAAATTATAGAAGGCATATGTGTTTTCATAAAATCTTATCAAGCCCCAAAGACAGAGAAAAAATGTGATCCTATAATTTGTGAGGGTGGAAGCAGAAAAGAGCAAAAGATGAAAAAATAAATCCAGACAGACTTCAAGAACAAGCACCCAAAAAAAGCTAGACAGCAGGAAAGGCAGAGAAGTTAACCGATACATAGAAAGAACCAGCAATTATTCAATTAGCTTGAAAAAAATGGAGACTCAGAAATCAAGAGGGGTTTCTAAGGTGGATTAAGCAATTTTTGAGATGATGGTGAATTTCTGAGATAGGGCATAATCCAATTTGGCTTTAAAAAGGAACAGAGTACTTTTGCTGTTACTTTATAAATCCCTTACAAACCAAAAGAATGAGGATCAGAAAGCTGAAAGGTAGCCACAGTACTTGGGAAGTAATCAGTATGAAATGAAATGTATGTATGTAATGAATGTACTATGTAATGAAAGCACTGGAAGCTAAAGGCAAAAAGAATTGTTACAAGATTTCTCAATTTTCAAATTGCTAAGAGCTGCAGTAAGGAAATTATACAAGAGTCAATGGTGAGAAAAGGGAGTTTTAAATTTTGTGCCAAGACTTCACTCTGAAGGATTCAGCACTACTCGTCTTTGGCACAGCCAGGAGCAGAGACGAGCAGAGACAGGAATCTGAGAAATTTCAGGGAGATTCAGTAATGAGTGGTAGCTGCAAACAGTGTAATTTCAGTTTTAGTAACCAGTTTCATGCTAACACACAATACATGAAGAAGTATAAAAGCTAAGAAAAAGCAGATCTGCAGCTAGGCAAGATAAATCAGTAATTCATTAAGTGCTCCAAAAAAGGAGCCACTATGATGGGACAGTGCAACAAGTGCTCCTAACCTTACAGCCAATAGCAAAGATGCAACAGTTTTGGGAAATGAAAGTAACCTGAGCTGCTTGTAAGTTACAGCTATTGCTGGTCAAAACATGTGTACATTTCTTACCAGGTAATCACACGTTGGCTGAAATGCATTAGTTCCACACACGTAGAGGAAAGTATCATTCAGCTGTTGCAAGACACGCACGTAATTACGACATTCTGTCTGTAATAGAGGATGAGGAAAGGACTAGTCTGATAAACCATAGCTGCCACATTCCAACATAAACAACCAACATTGTCCACTGCCGCTACTTATGCCACACCACACCAGCAAGCCCAGGTGACACGTGAGTCCATCCCAAGCTGTTTTATGGAAGGCCAAGCTCCAACCACACCTCCAGTCCATGGGAACCAGTTAAACATGAAGTGAGTTTTAGACTTTGTCATCCCTTGTACATCTAGACAAAACAATGACAGCCCAAGGTTGTTTGTTAAGTACAAAACCTCTAATACCCTTAAATTAGCCACAAAGTTTTGTTGCTTATAATGGCATCTTTTTCTTTTTTTCCAGTCCTTGATACTATCCAAGGAAGCTCCATAGTATCTTTAGCTCTGAAATAGAACAAGGAATTTGACCAAAATACTTAATAAAGCATACAATAAAAATTCAGAATAATAATGAAGTAAAACAACTCTAAACCACCACTTAGAGAAAAACCACCCCTTAGTTCTTGCTGGTATACTGCCATATCCCTCCACTAACTGCTGTTCCATGAACTTCTTAAACAAGTTTAAGCACTGACCTTACTACTCCTTCTTATGAGACAAATTAGGTATTTCTGTGACTGTACAAGGGGGAAAAAAAGCAGGGGAAAGAGAGGAAGAGTGTAAAACCAATTTTCTGCCAGATAAGGCCCTTGAACAGCTGCATGAATGCTTTCTGCTGGCATTAAACATTACAGTGCTTATGGGTGGGAGAGAGAACCGCCCATTTAAGTTTAAGAAATAGCAGTACTGGTTTAATACCTTGACCCTTTTGAAACTACTGCAGTGTGCAAAACATAATAGCTGCACCATAAATGGGACTAGCAGAAGGTTAGAAGTAAAGTGAGGAAAAAGCATGGCTAGCAGTAATTATGAGCTGCTAAACTGGGAGCAGGAAAAAATAAAACAGATTCAGAGCTCTATCAAAGTACATATTTATGAGGTCTATTATACCCCACCAATAATTTTTGAGAGGACTTTTGGAGATTCACACACGTCTGCTAAACATATGCTCATGCACAAGAGAAACTTATATCCCATATTCACTATGGCTCTGCATCAGTATTACTAATAGCAACCACAACTGATCCATAAAAAAAAAGTATTCTCTGATCCTATCCCTACAGAGGTAGACAAGGAGGAAACACACCTTGACTATCTGTCACATTTCATGTTCAAATAATGTACTGATGGTCATCAGTGGTCAGTTAAGGGAAAGAAGCAGCTAGACAAAGGGAGACAGCCCACTCCCATCCTGATGAACCACACAAACACAGGATAACTATCAGCCCTGGACACAGCATTTGGAGGTTTTTAAGAGGGTGAACTAAACAGGCTCCACGTTCAATGATCACATCCATCCTAGTGCAGAATAGATCTGCTTTTTGTATTCAGACAACTTGCACACTTCTACTTTCAAACCTGTGTTAAAGGCCTGACCATCAGTCTTTCCCAGCAAATCCTTGCTTTACTGCATCATTATAGAAGTGGTGTTACACAGAAAAAGGTACATTCACATACAGCCAAACCACCCCAAGTAATCAGGCAAGAGAGGCAGGACGAGGAAGCCAGCCTGTGCCCTGGCAGTCATAAGGAGTCAGCAGTTCCCACAAACATCAAGGGACCCCGCCAAGCTGACAAGGAGGGCTGGCTGCTCGGGCGCCCTCTGAGCTGAGTCACACCGCAAGGGGAACAACTGCCGAGCAACACAAAATATGCATATACCGGGCCAGTGAAGAAATAAACCGGCCTAATAATAAACCCCTGTGCCCTAAAGCAAAGCACACAACATTAATCATTCACTGTGTGTAAAATCAAATGCTGTGAAGGAATTATTGCAATAACAAAACACAACAGTTGCTACCAATTACTCCAGTGACAGCAATACTGGTTTATCATCTTAATGGAAAAACATTAACATTAAGCACACATTAGGGTGTGTTCAGATTTTCAAACATTCAAGTAATATTCAAAATCAAAAATAATGAACTAAAAAAAAAAAGAAGACTAAGCATGCTGCAGTTTCTAACACTCAAGTTAATTTAAAAAATTTAGGTGATTGTTTTGAAATTTTAATTTCAAACAGTTGCAGACTTTCTTCTTTTAATGTCACTTCTCTTGAAGTAAAATGTGCAAGATCTTTCTCCAAGTACAACAGAAGTACATACCTGTTCTGATTTGCCCTTAATTGCACATTTAGTCCTTTTATCTTCTGTGACCTTCCAGTGTAACTAAGTCAAAAAACATGCAACAAAAAAGCACATTGTACTTTAAGTCAATGCAAGGTCTGAAAATTTTCAGTAAGACAACACAAGAAAAGGCAACCCCATCTAGAGCAAATACAAGACAATTTGCAAGTAGCATTCAAAGGTTCAAAGCCATTTTTTCCCAGGGAGGTGACATTTTCAAATCCATGCGCCTTAACCAGAACTAAAATACCATCTTCTAGATTCACAACGATGATTCCCCACAAATGGCTAATGAACTTTTCATTAGCATATACATTGGGGAAATGCATCTGTAAATCGTTGAATTATTTTTTCAGTTTGAAGTACTTCTCTATTTCATTAACACTTGAATAAAAAACACTTGGGGAAAAGATATCAAAGAAAATTTACTGGACTAATATGCTTTATACCAAGTACAACTTTACAATTATGTTGTATGTGCTGGTCAAAGTGCCCACCACCACCCATGAACATGTTCTTCATAATAAAAATCAAATAAGCATCTTCTAAAGCACCCTGGGTGGTAGTCCATGCTGTACATGTCAGTTTGAGTTGCTGATGGGATGAAAAGCAGGGGCCTGGGAAGGACCTGGAAGCAATATAACATTAGCAGACTTCTGCCTGGGCCAATCTACTTTGAGAAACTAGCACAAACATATTCAAAGTACTTCTCTGAGGTGATCAGACCTGTCTGCAACACTACTTGCTGTGCAGACACACCCAGGCACTTTAACACAAGACGAGAGTGAAAGGACAGGGCCTTCTTCTGCAGCATATCTGCGGCCTGCTCTGAGAAAGCCCCAGATTTGCGTCTGCTTCATATTACTTTTTGACTCCGATTAACAGAAAATGGCCCACTGCTGATATTAAGAAAACACATAAAAACTGCAGGTGATACCCACAATCCCTCTTGTCCATCCTGCCCCTAAGAAGAAAATATCCAAGAAGATCTCCAATTACTTGTTTATATCAGTTTCTCCTTTCTTACTGTCTTTTACTCTGTAAAATCTTCCAGAAATAATACTTCAGTAAACCACATAGAGCAATTTCTCTTTTAGGTACCTATTTGTCTAAAATGCAATGCTACTGATATCAGGAAATTAAGTCAAAGTCGGAGTACAACTTTTACATGGAGGATAATGTATTAAAAGGCATACCTCATGCTGCTTCTCAGCAATATTCACTGCATTTAAGGCAAAGATCACTTCCCTGGCTCCTACATATAGAACGTTTTTGTCTTCACTTAACAGCAAGGTTGAATAGTTTGACACTTTTGATTCATTAAAATGTATTAGCTGGACCTCTGTTGAAACGGAAAAAAATAGCACCTCATGAAGAAACACAATCACTTAGGGTCAATCTCATGAGTAATTTTTTCTGAGTTGTCTAAACAGCTGTTGGAAATCTTGAAAACAACAAAGGTTAATTCAGACGACCCATGTAAAAGACAAGGGACCCATCGAGAGCTTGATTCACCAGAAACAGCAGCTTACCCCAACATCTAAATCACTTGTCCTGACTTTCTTATTCAATTTCAAATGCTTGAGTATTTCCTCTTGTGGTGATCCCTGTAACTCATTTATTCCTTCATTTTTTTTCTACTTGCTTTTTCTATACTTGTCTTTTCCACTGTCAGATTATTCCTCACCTTTTCCCTTCCATATACCAATCTACTGTGGAAAATCAGGCCAGTCACCACATCCCTTTGCAACTACTCTGAACAAATCCTACAAAATATCCTGCACCTTACGATAACTCTTCAGCATACTGACATAAAAGAAAGAAGATACGAAATCAAATAATAAACCATTTGCAGATGATTGTGAAGTGAAAACCAGAGATAAAATACACAACATACACACAAAATAACAGCATGAATGACAAAAATCAAGGAACAGAAAAAAGACAACAGGGAGACACGAGAGAAAAGGCGCTGGAATGAAGAAGTGTGTAGAGTGGACCAGAATGGCTTGAAGAAAGATGACACAAACTGACTAATACAAAAGGGTATTTTTTCTGAATGTACAACTATATTGTAAAAATGACTGAAAGCTTTTGTACATGAAGACACAAGATTAATTAAGCATGGCTTTTTATGACACAGATGAAAACAATATATTATTAATTCCAATTGTAACATTAGTAATTGCACATTTTCAACTGTAACACTGCAGAAACATTAGTTTTAAATTAGATTTCTCAAGCATGTAGTTTTGAACTCTTTTGCTTGGCAGGAATATTTCCCAAAATTTCCCATTTTGACAGTTCTTCGTACAACTGCAGTGAACTACATTCCCTCTCCTATTCAAAGTAGGTTTCCAACATTTAAATGCAACAATCTTCAGCAGACAGAGAAAGAAACAGCAGGAATGAAAATAAACTCCATTTATTTTGACTAATTTCAATGTGAGTCAGCAGTACCCTATTATTCCATCAAACAGCAAATTGCCAAATTTTAACTACAAGATGGAAGCATCAAGGAGTCTAAGCAGGAACTGCTGGCCTTGTCTAGGTCACCCTTTCTGAAAGGCTGTGTCGGCAACTCACTAACTGCTATACCAACCATCAGGAAAAACACTTCCTACAGTCATCCCATAATCTGCTTATTCCTACTTCATTCTTAATCTCCATCAGTCTTTTCCTACAAAATGTCTGCTCAGAATTTAACATCCTTATTTAAGATTGCTTCATTATACAGCCAGTGCATTTGTTTGGGTTCATTCAGTTATTGCACACTTGGGTAAGCAATCAATTGCTGTTTACTAAAGGACCCAAAGACAAAATCTCAAAGCATCCATGCCACATGCGTAATGGGGGGGTAGGAGAGGAAAAAAGGGATAAACGTATATATTCACAAATAATTACTCTCCAGACTTTGCTTGAAGTTATTTTTAGACCCAGGCTAAATTATTAAACCAAACAAAGCTGGGGATCCCCTGATTTCTATTACTCCTCTCTGCACTTATATTTGCAGACTTCTGATTATTGTATTGGGAGATTATGAAGACGTGCTGCAATTTCAAATGCAAGAAAAGCATGGCCCTGTGAAAGACATTCATATCTAGACACTATAAAATGCTGTTGAAAGAGGGCCAAATGCTTATTTTTCTTTTGCCTGTTGATTTATTTAATGCTCAGGATGGCTCAGTGTCAACACAGATTATTAGCTGGAGAGGTGCATTTTGCTAATGTATTCAGACTCCAGGTAAAAATAATTTGTTTAAAATAAAATACACCTACTGGGATTTTCTCTTGAAACAAGTTTCAGTTGCAATATCCTTCAGCTGAGAAAGACAAATTTGGAATTCCTCCTCTGTTTCAAAACAACTCTGTTTTTAAAGCTGCTTGAAGGAACCAAAATCAGTTAATCCAGTGCCTGAACGACTTTTCAATATTCTGGTCGTAAGCATTTCATAAGGTGAGCAAAGTAGCAACACCTGACCAATTCACAGCAAACTGGCTGAGAGAACCTAATTTGAGCCTCAGGGAGTTTCAAATCCCACAAAAACCCTGAGGATGTGGTAATATCCCATGTTGCAATACTTAAATTTCTGCTCTTACCTTTGTGTTCCCAAGTGATCCTTGGCACTGGGCCAAATGCTATTGCCACTTCTAGCAACAAACCCCAAACTGCATAAAAAGCACACAGAGCCATCTTCAGTGTCCCTGCTCTTCGGGGTTCACTGGAGTAACTGCAGCAGGCAGCGTTTCTTTGACAGATGAAATGGAGACCCCAGGGAGTATTAGAGACCAGGCATTTCACCTCTTGAGAGCAACACCACAAGGGAGGCTGGAACAACTGTACAAGTACGTGCTTTTCAGCAGATCACTTCAAGAGAACGCACATTTTCCAGGATGCTGCATACAGAGACTGCCCACACACTCCACAGGCTGCAGAGCTGCTGAGAAGTGTGACTGAGTGCATTCTTCTGTTTTGCCAGAGAAATAAATGATGCTGTGGAGAGAGGAGGGAAGCAAGAAGTAGAAGAGAAAGCAAACCAAATACTGCCAAAAATAGCACTGATATTGCACTATTTCTACAGCTGTCAGCATATCCTAATTTGGACACAAAATATATTAATTGGTGAAAATCACATTCTTAAAAATAAGACACACATTACATGGCACATGGGCAATAACTGAAAGCAATGATTTCAATCTAGAATTCCAAGTGTAAAGAATTCGAATTACCACTTAAGCTTAATGCACAAAACTTGACTTTATTCTTTCAACAGTGTCAAAGAAAATCCCACCTCTCCAACAAACAATAAACAAAGATAACAAAAACCACTAATATCACAGAGCAAAGTACATGAGAAGTGCAGCACTAATAGTAACAATGGTTACACAACCTGCTGTACTTCCCATACATGGGATCTTACAGAAGTCTTTTTTATTGAAGTTTCCTGTAATGCTACTAACTCACTCAAGGTCTGCAGTGTGCACGGGGCAGAAACACAGCTACAGAAACAAAGAGCTAATGCACTGCATACAAAAATTAAGAGAGAAAACACGTCAACAGTGAAACTGCTAGCTAGATAGAGTACCATGGAAGTCATTGTGTCTCTAGGTCAGCTATTACTCTCAGACCACACAAGGTCTATCCTAACAAACAAAACTGTTCACTGCTTTCTACACCATCTTCCGGAAGTCTCCACTCATCCTGTCTTTCTACAACCACTCCTGGACAAAGATGCCAGAAGCAATGAGTGCATTCATCAATTACTAGATTATAAATAGGTTTCGACGCCTGTACACTTGGGGTGGTGATGAAAAAAACATGCTGTCCTTTACAGCACAGCACAAGATGCTAGATGTTCACTGTGCCACCCCTGCCTGAGACACCACAGTCACAGTCCCTCTAGTAAGGGACACAGGAGGATACAAGGTAACTGTAATACCTATCCAGCAGGAGGGCAAGTGAAGGTTTATTGATTTTGCATGGCCTGGTTTTGGTAGCAGGCGAGCCTCAGGGGTGGCTTGTGGAAGAATCTGCTAGAAGCTTCCACCACATCCAGTACAGCCAACCTGTGGCAGCTCCAAAGACAGGCTGCTGGCCAAGGCTGGCCCAATTGCAAATGATGTTAATGCCTCTGTGGTAACACACATAAGAAGAAATCAAAACTCAATCGGTGGAACAGTTTTGGTTATGAGCAGAAAAGAGCAGAGTGAGAACATGTGAGAGGAATAGCCCTGCAGACACCAAGATCAGTGAAGGAGAGGCAGGAGCTGCTCCAGGCACGGAGCTGAGATTCCCCTGCAGCCAATGGTGCCAACCACGGTGAAGCAGCTGTGCCCCTGCAGCCCATGGGGATGCTGAGATCCACCCACAGCCCATGGAGGAGCCCCACGCTGGAGCAGGTGGATGCTACAGAAAGCTGTGACCCCATGAGAGAACTGTGGAGAGAGAGGTCCTCATTCCATGCTACAGCAGCCTCTCCTGGAAGGACTGCACCCCACTGAAGAGTGACCCATGCTGCCGCAGTTTTGGGAGGACTGTGTGTCCCTGGGAGGTACTCCCATTGCAGCAGGCCACAGAGAGCTGCTGCTCTTGAGAGGGATTCTCATCAGTGCTGCAGTGTGATTTTATGGCTTAGCCCAGAACCTGGGTTTCTCACCTGATGATTCCCTCCCAGGTGTGTCAATCATCCTTCCTTTCCCCACCCTGACCCCTGCCGAGCACTGTCTGTCCATCCTGGAATTCCAGAAGGGCATCACGTGATTGGGTGGGCAGATTCAAAAAAGCCCTCTACCCCGGGGGGAATTGGGGCATCCAGGTGTTCTATGTCCCTTGAGACCTTCTCTGCTGTACCTGGCTGGTGAGTTCCCTGTCCCTTCCCTCCTCCCCTCCCCCGGGTAAACGGGCGAGCAACCACATGGTCCGGCAGTTCTGCTGGAAGAGCTGCTGGATTCAGAGGCCTGTGGGCCAGAATAAAAACTCTGGATTAAAACCCTCCATCAGAGCCGACTCCTTTCCTTCACCACCGCCTTAAGGCTTCTCTGCAGAGGGAAACCTGAGGAGCAGACCCTCTGTGAGAGGAAGCTCCATCCCGCTGCCACCAGCGCCCCAGCATGCCTGGGCTTGCCTCCATGCGCCCAGCTGCAACTCACAGCTGGCCAAAGTGGCTCTGGGGTGAAGCACCACAGTTGCCACTATTTGGTTCAGCAGCAGGGCCAGACAAGCCAAGGCACGTCCCGTCCTCCAATACTGGTAACACCAATTCATCAGAAGTTCATGGAGAACTGTCTCCTGTGGGAGGGACCTCCATGGTGCAGCTGGGGAGTGACTCCTCCTGCTGAGCAGTAGGATAAACCATGGCTGATTAATTTACTATAATCTCCGTTCCCTTGTCCTCTTGCACCACTGGGGTAAGGATGTAGAGTTTGGGAAGGAGGGAGGGATGGGGTGGAAGTTGTTTTTTGAGGGCTTTTTTTTTACTTCTCATTATCTTGCTCTGATTGTGTTAGTAATGTTCTCAATTCATATCTCTAATTAGAGCCTGCTTTGCCCATGATGATATTAGATGAGCAATCTCTACCAGTCCTTATCTCTACCCATGAACCCTTCCTTAAATTTTCTCCTCTGTCCAGCTGCTCAGGAGAGTGAGTGAGCAGCTTTTGTGGGAGCCTGGCATCCAGCCAGTGTCGAGCCATGACAGAAGGTTACAAAATCATTAGTAACACTGAAAAGGAAGGGGGACCAGTACCTGAAAAACACAGAGGTAAAAAGACTAAGGGAAAACTGCAGCAAGAACATCTCTAAGTATAAGCAAGATCCCTCTGGGAGGACCTGGGTTTAAGCAAGAAAAGGCAAGGAATCTCTAATAAGCGCAGCCAGTGGATCTTAAGTAAGGTGGCCAAGCAGAAGATGGGCAACTACATTTGATCACAGGCAACACTAAAAGATTTAGAAATCCCATTTATTTCTATAAATATCTTATTTACTAAGAATAAAAATCCACACAAGACTGTAACTTGCTCAAGCTGAACCCATAACTTTTTTTTTCTGTTTTTTTTGGTCTTGATAAGCACTTTGCATCAAATCCAACTGTTTGTAGCAGATCATATAAATAGTTTTCGGTTTTCATGATGTTTTCAGTTAAACTTATTAGGCTTTTTTGTGTGTCTTTCATCCTTCCTGTTTTTCATCATATAGAAGCAATTCAGGTTTTGCTCTCCAATACATTAAAAAGTGCCCAGTCATCTGAGTTACAAAGTATGACATATTCTGAGGCAGGCAAACAGCTTTACAGTAAGTGTTTAAAAAGGGAACAATAGTTCCATTATTAAGTTCCAGGTAGTTTAGCTGCTTTAAGAGAAATGTAAGGAGGAAAACAGCAGTTTGAACACAACTAATCCTTTGCTTAATGCTACCTTTTGTTAATGAGAAGACTACACATAAAAATCAACTCCCTGTTAACTCTTGATAGTATTATTTTTTTGTTTGTTTGTTTGTTTTTAAATTATTTTAGTTTTTTTTAAAGATACAGTCAGGACATCTTAAATCCATCAGTTATGTACAATGCCATACAGCAGAGACGACTCCAGAGGACACTTCTGAAGTCCTGTAAATTTTTTGGACTTTCAAACAGAATTTGCAAATATAAGCCCTAGTAAAGAATCCTGAGTTTTCCTATAGCCACACTACATTCCTAGTCTAGCTTGACTACCTCAGTAAATGCAAAATGACAATGAAGCTTGAAACAAATTACATTATCTTTCGAAGGAAACAAAGGGTCTGGCTGGATCCTTTAATGCCTGCTTTGCTATACAAAATGGAGATCTGTGATTTCATTCCTACTGTACAGGATTGCAAGAAAAGTTCTTTTTCACATTAACAAGTTTGACTTGTTGGACATTACTTGATCTAGGGCAAAATTTTGCATGTTTCAAAATGACTACAGTGAGCATTACATGCCCAATTGTGCAAGATCCACTTTGTTCTCATTTCTATAACTTTAAGTAGAGATGAAAATGCACTCAAACCTTGTCCTTTAATTTAGCCTTCAATTTAGTTACTCACCCCTGCCCCTCCCTTCCCTGCGCTGAAAATTATCTGTCTTCCACTGACATCTACTGAGAGGTCATTCATGATCTAATATGAACCTCTCTTTACATAACACAAGTGGTACAAGAAGGAAAAGTTAAAAAAAAAAATTTAAAAGGCCCAGACAGTGGCCTCATTTCCAGATTAACTCAGTTCCATCAATGTTCACTAGCTTTGATTAGATCTGAGTGTTCCGAATTTCTGAAAAGTTAGGTCTCCTAATACTTTGAGCATTACTCCAAAAAAATAAGCCACAATTTGCCTGGAAACAAGTACACTGAAGAAGTAAAGTAGAAAGAAACCTGAAACATTTGGTTACATAATTAAATTCTGATTAAAATGACCACAGGTCTACTTTTTTGTAGAACTGTTAAAAATTTTCTGAGGTAAGTAATCAGTAAATCCATAATTTAGGGACTCTGATGATAGTTTTACATCAGTGATGTAATGATGAAATGGAGCAAAATGAGTTTTCTGTGATGTGATGCTTGTATTTATGGTGACTAAAAACAGGACAACTGTAGAAGCAATCAACGCAGCTCCAGTCAGTTTGGCAGAGCACAGCTAGAAGCTCAAAGCTGTGAACATTTCCACTGACATGTAAAACTGTAATCCATGGAAAGAGAAATAGGTAGAAACAACCTTCTGCTCTCTTGAAGGATAGAAATTCAAAGCTGTTAGAAAAATTGCTGCAGAACTGCTAGTAAGGAATACTACCACAGGTTTTGAAACCAGGGAGTTGCAATGGCATATACTGACTGTTACAAAGATCAGAAACCATCTGTCTCTCACATCACCTGTGTCACTGGGCATCAAAGAAGCAGTGCTTTAGTCCACCTTCTGGAAAAATGCAAAATCCTAGAAACTGGAAAACCAATCATGGGAAGGAGACTGTCATCCTCCAGGACACAGAGGCAAAGTACACAAAGAAGTATTTGTGAACACAACATTTCATCTTTCAGAGATTTCAATTCCACAACCTAGTACCTAGGGTTTTTTTAATAAGTAATGCAACCCAGAGGCAAGTGTCTTCTTCCCCAGATAGCATGGTACGGCTGGATCCAAATGTATATCTCGTATGAGCAAATACCACGTAAGTTTGCCAGATTCTGGAATTTCAAAGCTAGGAAATGGCCAATTTTGCAACACTTGTTTTGAAATGTTTTTTCTTCTGATAAACACTTAGTTGCACTGTGCAACTTCTCGGTTCGGCTCAGTATTACATAAACTGCTAAGAGGACCTAGTTTTATTTTGTATATGAAGGTTAAAACCAGGAGAATTTATTAACACAGCAGAAAACAGTCAGCATCATAGTTGCGACTCTTGTGATTCCTAAGAAATTATCACTACCATCACACAGGATCCAGCCCCCCCCTTGAAGAAAGCCAAAGACATGCTAGCCATTCTGGTCTAATTCCATCATTCTCTTCATGATTCTCCAGCCATACTAAGTGCCGCCATAATTTTCCTCCCTTTTTGTATTGCACTTTATTCTCCTCCACAGGGTTCATCTCTCCTTATAATCCCTTATCTGCTCTGTACTTATTCTCCCACCCATGCTACCACCTACTCTTCTTCCCCAACACGAGCAAGGCACAGCTCCATGACCACAGGTGATGCCAGCCCCGCAGGCTGTCAGACAAAGACCACCTTCCTTTAAAGAAGGTCCTTTAAAACACATACTTCTCTACCTCTCCATAAAATCACTGTCACATCACTCATTGTCCAGAGACAGCAAAATGAGTAGCTCACAGTTATTAATAACTAACTTCCTTCCCACTGCCAAGAGTGAAACAACCATGACAGGTTTGCCAGGCAGTCTACCCCACTATTTTCAGATAATTAAAAAAAAAAAAACCCAAAAAAAAACAACAAAAAACCCAAAAACATTTGCAAAACTTGCAAGGAGTAACTTGTACATTACTATGATGAGGGATATGAAGCTCAGTATGTGGAGACAGGTGAATTTATGAGTGAATTGCTTCCGCCAGCAGAAGAGGATGAGTTAAAGGATCCAACTGCCAGGAGGCATAAATTGCAAGTTCTCCCTAAATAACTTTCTTTTGAAGCTTTAACAAAATACAAACCTGCTTTAATATTTATTGATGCCTATTTTAGAACAGATGTTCCATTTTAGAACAGATTCTAAGGCTCCATACTTGAAAAACAAATCAGAGAAATCCAACCATGAGGTTTTGCTTAAACCTGTTTTTTTTTTTTAATTTTTCAATTTTGTTTCCGAAACTGAAAGGAAAAGTTAGCAATATTTGTATTTTAAGTAAGTAAAATTACACACTGAGAAGTGTACAAATTACCTTTGACAGCTGAGTTTTATTTACATTGTTTGTGAATTTCAGACCAGTAAAGACAGGGTGGTTATACCCTTTGCTTCAGTTCTCACCCTTTTAAAAACCTCAAGCACAATGCCATTTTTATACAGTCTCATGGAAAACATCATTATTTACAATCTCTTTATTATGAAATACATATGGATTCATTTTTCATTCATTCCTTACCTCAGGAGCTGAGGTAAGGTACAGCCTCAAACCAGGAGATCAGTAGCCCTTTATGATTAATATATACATGTGGAGCATGGGATTATTTGCATTTTGAACTGTAACCAAAATACTTTGTAGTTGCTACATGATTACAAATTAGATGAAGATTCCTAAGACAATTTGATGTGGTCTTTATCACTACCACAAAGCCTGCTGGAGGATGTGCACTACTGCTAGAATATAAAAGCTGTAGAAGCAAATACCCAGTTTTAGGCGAGAAATCAGTATTTTCTGTTTCTACATGATAAATATGTCATCAAGTAGTCCTCAGGAAACTAATGCTTGTGCTTAAAGAAGAGAATTTATCTTCAGAGGGATACTACTAGAGATCTGTTACTTTTTAAACTCGCACTCCTTTCACTACTACATTTTTTTCTGTAGGCAAAGATTATACAAAGATAAAGTATTACATGAAAAAAAATAATGACAAAACAGATTAAGACCCTTATTTTTACAATTATTGTGGATAGATATCTAGGAATAGCATTCAACTTCAAAGAGCAACAGAAAAGTGCTAACTTGAATGCAAAGTTATCCCAAGTACAGAATTCAAAAGCTTCCCTGGGCATATTCTAAGACCCTTTTCTGCTTGACTGGGTACTCCCAAATATTAAAGCTGGGTTGTGACAGTGACGTGCTGCAGTTAGAACCAAGCAAGAAGGAAAGTTCCTGAAGTTCATCTTCTCCTACTAGTTAAACATACTGCCACAATAAAAAATATTGCTCAGTTTCTTTGTCATTTTTTCTTGGGCTCATAGGACTAAATTAGTCATTTGAAGATGCCTCCTGGCAGTTAATGGCATATGTGAAAGTACCTGCTTGTCTAAATTAACAGGTATATGTGCCTTAAAAAAAACCTATGCTGGCTGTCCAGCAACACTTTCAGAGTCCAACATCTCCAAAAGCAAGGCCAGGACCCCTTCATACATATAAACCACATAACACAGGGGAGGTGCAACCCTGAAAATGACCTTTTAGTGGTAACTAAAGAACAGGTAAATACAGAGTATGTTCCTGTGAAAGAAGTCCTTCCTGGTAAGTGTCCTGAGTATTTTGGTCTTGAAGCAAAAGAATATAATAAATCAATTTATAATTCAATTCAATTCTGATTTACATTTTTCAGTATGCACTAAGTCCCCAGTATTCCTGAAGTACATTTATTTGTTTCTGCTAACAAGGACACCTGTAACAGTCACCACGAATCCAACACAGCCCTCCTTGCTGTGGGGATGTACCTCTGGTTTCAATGTACATACCTGCCACCCTTCAGAGCCTCCTGCACACTCCAGAGCTGGGAAGCCGTCAGAAAAACGTCCTTTCTGGAAAGAGGTAAGAAGCAGGCTTTGACATCAGTACCACATAATCCTGAAAGGCAAGTTTTGATATGGGAATTAAAATAAATCCTCCCCCAAAAGTTTGGCTTTTGTTTTCCAGATTTCCAAGGCAAAACATTCCTGACAAAACCCAGAACTGCTACATTTGCGTCCAGTGAGCCAAGATCCTGACATTGCACTTAACACCAAAAAAATATTAAGCAGACCTGATAAAAAGCAGACACATCAGCCCTTTTAAAACTCAATTTGTATCTCCTATCCCAAGCTGGCTGATATCTACCCAGCACAAAATTATTCAGTATTTGCATTGCAGTAGCAATTACTGATATCAGGAAGAGTCTGGGACCCCTCACATGCTGGTATGGGAAGTACTAGAGAGGTTAGACACCAGCTAGCCTCAAAAACAACTACCTTTACAAAATTCATATAAATCAGTTCCAGCACTTTCCTCCATTATTAAAGAACTGCATTATGCACCAGCTTAGGAAAGAGGCTCCGGATACCGACAACACCACCCAGCATGCTTGTATTTATTTTGCTGTAATCACAGGTCAACAGTGGGCCACTCTGAAGCAATCACAACTGGACACGACAAAGCACTTATCCCAACACTGTTACATCAGACTGTATTCATATGTATTTCCTGATGCTCATAAAAGCATTTTTAGAAGGCTGAGCCATGTGAAGAGATAGTGTTTTTTAAATGCAAGTCACTGACGGTCTGAAGTAGATTTCACTATAGTCAACAGTAAAGGGGTTCCCACAGATGCAAGTGGTAAGATGGTGCACCTGACAAAAAAAATCTCCGTTGCACTTCTGAAGGCTTAATTCATGTCCCAGAATATTGTAATGGCTCAGAAGACAGAAGCCTCAAAAGAAAAAGGCTAGAGAAAATTGTAAGAAGCAGCTCAGTACTGCAGGTCTGTCTCTAAGGGAGAGCCTGTACATGGTCTTTTCCAGAGATCTTCAACAGCGCATGTTTTGTGGCTACCAGTATAGTAAAAGGCATTAAACAGCTACATCAAACATACTTTTGCTTAAAAAAGTAGTATTTTTCAGTACATTTTGGGCTATATAAAGGGGGTGAGGTAGTCTGATTCTCCCCTCAACCTTTTTTGAACAAGATACCCCACAAAAATCCATTACACCCATCAATGTTATTAACAGCCTGCTACTAAACAGTAGCAGAATGTAACTGATTTACTTTTGATGTTAAAAAAACCCCATCCACCTTTCAATCTGTTGAAAACGAACTAGAGAAGGCAAGCTGTAAATCATCTGACCAGTTATGAAGCTCTCTACAAACCAACTTACACCAGATCACCTCTATGGCTTTAGCTACTCAGTACTGAAGTGAATAAGTAAAATTTACCAGAAAATCCTGCTTGCCACAAGGGGCTATCAATCAACATAGCCACTATTGCTACTGGAGTTTTCAGATCCAAGTACGCCTCCATACAGCTTATGCTCCCAGAACAAACTATAATAATCTATTTTAGCTTCAGGTACCTTAAGGGAAAAAGAAAATTCTCGTTCACCTCTCTTGAGAAAGCTTCCAGCAGCCTACAGCTTGTACAAGCACTTTCACTTAACAAAGCACTTGCATCTAAATTAATAGCTAGAGTAGGTGTGAAACTCCTCTGAAAAGCCTAGCAGCAAATCAGCTGACCTGTATACTTTCCTGGCTTACTTTAAAGTAAGTAACAGCCCGACATGGAGGTTTTCAAATCTCGGCAAATAGCTCCAGGTTTCTGAACTATGATCTGAGGTCACCGGGGATTGAAAGACAGGTGGCAGATGGCTGGAGGTCAGGCCACCTCTCAGACAGCCTCTGGATTTCCATGGGGATGATAAGAGGAAGAGGAGCTGTTAGGACTTCCAAGCTCACCTCCTATGAGCAGTCCATCCTTCCTCAGTGTGGACCTTGGGAAGGGGCCAGTAACCAATCAGTGTTTCCAGCAGAGAAATCCACAGGCACGGGGCTGGGTGTGAGGGTGGCTGGGCTAAGTTGAAGGGGCTCCTTTGGTCACACTGCCACTGCCTGCCTGTCAAGACACCACCTGTAGCCATGCTACACACAAGAAACTACTCCCAGCTTGCCAGAAGCTATGACATAATTAAGACCTTTAATCCAACTCAGATTTGAGCATGAAATTAAACATCCATGTGAGCACTGCAGGTTGGCAGACATCCTTCAGGGGGCTCTTGTTCGACCCGAACCTCAAAAGTGATCCTTTCCAGCAGATACTGCAAATACTTAAGTCTAAACTTATGAGAAAAAAAAAACCCTCTAAACTGTTTCTTCTGGCAATGATTACTTAAGCTTGGGGAGAAAAACTACACCACGAATACCTCATTATTTTGACAACTGTGAATAAGTCTTCAAAGATTAAAGAAAACACCTACTGGATTATAAATGAAAGACAGCCTGGAATACATTATGTAGAATAAAGGCATAGTCACCTTAACGAAATTTTTCATAAAATATCCACAATCCTTCATATTATGTATGTTTGCATACACTTTATTTATTTGAAGGGCTTCTAATCTGTCAAATTCCAAACCACATTAACGTATTACAAGGTACTTCTGGCTGTCACATCCTAGTTGCCTTAGAAAAAAATTAAAATCCAAAATCAACTACCATGTACTACTTTTCCTCCTGCACATCAATTACCATCCAGATCAGCAGCATTTCTTTCATTTTCTATTCAAGCACATGCCTGCTATAACCAGGTCCTTGTGATTCTAAATGAAGAGAAAAAGAAAGGAAACTCAAGAAAACTAGCTTATAAACAAATTTTCTTTACTTGGAAGTCTCTTTGCAAGCCCATAGGGGCAATTTTTAAGTTTGGGAACATTTTTAGTGCTACAGCACTATACACCTTACTGAAATACCATTTTCAGATAAATACCTTGATAATCACAACTAGACCTATATTTGCTACCTCTGTTTCAAGTCAGCCACAACCTATGCATACTGGCTTTCTTAGAAAAACTATTTTAAAAGCTTATATAGAAGCCACAATAAAGCCAACATACAGCTATGAGTAAGACTGCACAGACAGCTGCTCACAGACAGCGTCTGTGACTAAGAACTTTCCTGTTAATGCTATGAGTGGTTTTAAGAGTTTTGAATTACATGAAAAGGTAGGCTAGACTACAAACTTCAAGAACAGTGCATATTACCATCCTATATTTAAATAATTGATCTGAAACACTAAAATAACTGCTGCTGACACTGCCCCCACCCACTCTGGATGGGGCTGGTGATTATACCTGCACCACCTGTGCAAGACACTGGGGGTGAAAAATCAAGTAACAAACGTGCTACAATACTTGGAGAGCAAAGCTCTAATTTTTTCTTCCCCTTTCCTGCCTGCAAAGTTTACTTTCTATTGAAAAATCTTCATTTCACAGACCCATTTACTTCCTTACTCACCCGTCTACTTTTCCTAAACATTGTAGGAAAAATAAGTTCTTGAGCTTTAACCTGAAGCAGAAGCCTATGCTAAACCTTGTTCTGAAACAGTGAAGTGAAAAAAGCTCAGTTAGATCTCAAAAAGACAGCTCTATCTCACCCAAACTCTGCTGGGATCCTCAGTTTTACTTTCTGTCACCTCAGCACTCCTCAGATCTCACAAGCATCTTCAAAACAGCCAAGAAAAATATAGAGACTGAACTGGTGGCAGAGAGCTACAAATGCCTCCTGCATCCCAACAACAAAAGAATCCCAATAAGAATATCAAGGTTGGGCCAGCTACTGCCATGATAAGAGTTTCTCCATTCTTCAGGATATTAAGAGAATCTGTAATTAAGCAACTTAACTTCCATATAAGTGAATGGGAGCTTTCATGATAGTACCTATGCATCCCAAGCCTTCTTCAGGAAAGGATCTGAGTGGGTTTCACAATTTCAGCTTTCTTCCAGTTACCATACTGTACAAATATCAACACAAGAGTACTTTAATAAAAAGCATGGTAATGGTTCTGAAGAAAATTACAGTAAAGGCAGAGAACACCAACACAACTGTGTGAGACCAACATCCACAGCGCATGAAAGATGAAACAAGGATGAACAAATGCATAAAGAAAGTAACCAGTACCAGCACTTTGGCTTGAGATTAATCTTTTTAAGGCACCACTTCAGAGACATGTAAAAATTTTATGTATTCAAACAGCCTTCACTCAGGGAAGAAAAAAGTTCAGAAGGAACACTACAATATTCTGGTCAATACACAAACAGTCTTTGGAGAGCAGAGATCACTGTGACCGCCTCCACAATCAACAATTTTTCTATTTCAACAAGATCAACATAAAGGACAAAATTACTACCCCTCTTGTCATAAAATCCCATGTAATCCATGTCTCCTTCTCCTTCTATCAGAAAAGGAGCAATGTGGGAAATTATTTGCTGGTTAAAAAACCTAAACAACAAGAACAGCAGATAAGCCTCTAAATCTTATTCTTTATCATTAAATTAAAAGTAACAGAAAACAGAAGTCTAAATTCTGCCTGCATTTTTCATTGTTGTTCTTTATAAGATGTTCTTTAAGGTTCCTAAAGGAAAATCAACAGCTAAAATGTCCCCAAAGACGCACAAAAACACGTGTCTTATCCAACAGACTATCAGATGCCCAATTATGGTGAAACATCTTCTAATATTGGTGAGAGAAGATACCTATTTCCATATTCATTCTGACAACATGCCAACCCAGGAAAGCTAAAACTAAGATCAACATGCTGTATTATACCACCCGCTTTCTTAAGAGCTTAGATCAAATAAGCAAATCAATTTTGTCACTTTCAGAGAACTTTTGTTCCTTTTCAACTGTGTAATACTAGAGTACTTCCTGGTTTTACTTTTCTGGATTGTTTACATAAACTGCATTAGCAGTGTTGACAGGTCAGTTTGAATATGTTTAAGAGTTATCTAAACACATATTGCAAGGTACCTAGACTTCACAGTGTTTCATATTTAGTGTTTTTCAATGCTATCTTGGCATTTTTCTCTCTTGCCTTGAGAAATACA